GCACATTCTTATAAGATAGGGAGCTGAACTTACAGAATTTATAGCATGTATAAGATCTTTTTAACAAAAAGTGATAAAATGTTCATGTTCTAGAGTTGAGGCTGAGATGAAGAGGGATCTGGTTTTATGTGAAAGGCCACATAGCTGAAATTCAGCGAGGAGACTTGCCATCAATACAAGTAAGACTGCATAGATAACAAAGAAATGTACAGCTCGGGAAATGAGAAAAGGACACAATAAATCTCCTGCTGAGAAAGGTAGATAAGCAGCTGTCAGAGGAGAGCCTTTATAGAATGAGCTGGTATTTTTAGCTTTTTTCCAGCTCTATAAGATGCTTATATACCAACTATGGTTGCTAAGAACATGTACTCAAGCTGGTGGTTTCATGAAGAAACAGGGCTGTGTTACAAAAAGAAGTAACTTCTGGATTACACAAGGAGGTCTCTAAGCATTGCCATTAATATGTATATTATGGAAGAGGAGAATGGGAAATTTTTCATTTTCACTACAAGATATATGGAGAGCTCACTTCCCTTTGCTAGCTTTCAGAATATGTGAATGCTCTAAACAGCAAGAAGGAATTATTTTCTAATGGGTAAGAGCCTAATCTAAACTCAATTTAAGTCAATCAGAATGCCTCCCTCTAGTTTGTATGGCTTCTGAATCAGGCTCTAAATATCCCAGCCTTTCACTTCCTCTTAGAATTATCACTTTTATAGCATAAGTATGGCAGCCTCTATCATGTGCACAATACTATATAAAAACATAGGAAAGTAGTTTGTCAATCAGTTCAGAACTGAAGTATTTAACAAGTTACCTGTGGAAAGATTACTGAGATTAAGATAGCATATGTATCACAAACTTAATGATAAAAAATACTGTGTCTAGACAAACTGTGCTAGTGTAGGGGGTGTCAGAGTAGGAGAGAAACCTGGCTACAGACAGGTTTTATCTTTCTCCCACATTGTCTCGTTGGTCTTGCAAGAAAGTAGGCCTAAGTAGAAAACTGTAGTATCAGTTTCCTGTCCCCCATGCACTTGATCTGTCTACTGTCTACTGTGAAAAAAGTCACGAGTACAAGGGGTGTACTAATCACCAGGATATTCACTATGTGAACACGAGGTGCAATTTGGATAATGTGTTTTTTTAATTTAATACTCCAATGGCCAGAGCTGATGGCAGCAAATAATTCTTAGGCTTTATCTACAGCAGAATTAACCATTCTGTACTGATTTAAGACATTACTTTTTGCAGCAAGAACCATATGAAGCATAACCTTTTCCAAAAAAAACGGATATGAGATCTTTACATTGCTTGTGGAGCCAAGCTGCAGGGAGAACTTAGAAGAGTTTGGGAGATATCTCTGATTTGTAACATCCGCACCTCTGTAATACTCCTTAAAGAGAAAACTTACTAAAGAAATAGCACAGGGAAGAAGGACAGGAGGGGATGGACAGACAGACAGTAGAAAGGTACCTACAGTTTGACTCATGGATAAAGAGTGGTGAAGCACGTAGGATAGCTGTTATGCTCTGACTGGACAATTTCTAAGAACTGAACTTTGATTACAGGCAAAACCACATAACTGGTAGTCAAAAGGAAAAAATGGGCTAGGAGATTTGCACCTAATAATATAGTTCTGATAAAATTCTGCCCATGAGTGAGACCAAGGACTCGGGGGATTTGGAAGTACAAGCAGCTGTACTTAGTACAGGCTACAGATACATATTTATGTATTTGTATCTATATACCTACAGATACATACATAAGTAGATACAGATACTGTATCTACAGTACAGATGCAGTGAGGGTGAAAGTAGGAGGGAGGAGAGATTATGTCTCCATTTCTTTACTGTGTGCTTTCTGCTTTGATGAAAATTTGGCGGCTGAGGTCTGTGTGGCATTTACTAGATGAAGTGTGTAGAACAATGACAGGCTGTACAGGAACATGCAGTAGTGTATCTGTTCTTAAACTGTAGGGCTGCACTGAACAATCTGCATACAGTTGCTTCTGAGAGTCTGCAATTCATTACTTCTGACTTAAAATCTTTTTATCTACCTCAATTGTTTCTTCCATCTCTGCATACAAGAGGAAGGCTGGGAGACCAGATACCTCATCAACACTAACAAAGCTTCCTTCTACCCTGCTTTGAAATTATATTTGCCTGTATTCTTGATGTTCAGAGATTCACATAACACAGATTTCTTCAAAACAAATACTTTAAAAAGGATGCTCTCAAGGCTGCTTGGTATAAGTTTGACCTATTTTTTCCTCTTTAACTGTTTATGTAATGCATTTAATTCCCTGTATTTTCCTCCCTGTTCAAATAGGTAATTAAGTAGTGTTTTCGAGGGCTAACACAGATGAGCACCCAGACAATAACATATCTACCTCAAACATAATAGACAAGAAAATCAGTCAGTAAGTCAACAGGTTTCATTTCATGCTTTCTGTGAGGAAATGAATCTGTTCAGTGAGGTCTTCGGCCAGGTGTAATTCCCCTTTAACTTGTGGAAGGTACTAAATCTCTTTCAGCATTGGGACTTAGTAATTAATTATCTTTCCATAGTAGCTGTGTTCCAGGAGTAGCCACTCCTGAACTTATGGGGAAATGGTCTTGCCTTCATGCAGCAACTCTGGGATCTGTGAACACTGAGGAACCACTGCCATTTTCCTTTAGAAAAACAATTCAGGCAATCCTTCTCCTCTTCAAAGCCAGTTTTAAGGGGCTTTCCCTGCAGAAGCAGCTGTTTGTCCCACAGCTTTCATCCTGCACCACACCAACTTCTCTCAGAAACAGACCTGATTAACTCATTTTGGCACAAGCTGTCACTAAACAAAGTGATACATGCTTGCTGGGATGAAATACAGGACAACTGGGCTTTCAATATAAAGAAATATTGCTATGAGCCATCCAATATGGGTTTTATTGCATAGGCTCAGCTTAACACTGATTTAGGACTTAGAGACATTCCTCACTGCTGCATGTTATAGTTACATGGGCAGTAGAAGCGGAAAAAAAGCTCAGGGATTTGGAAAAACTTAATTGCTGATGTATTTCAAGTTATTATACAAACCACAATTACCAGAAGGGTAACAGATGTTTTTGTCTCAATTGGAAAAAAAAATACTATCGATATGTAACATTTTTAATTAGAACTACTGGCTTCCACATCTTGTCTTTGTTATACTTTATATCTCCTTGGTTAGGGAAAACCAATAATATAAAACTGAAATATATTACATTTTCTAGTGAAAGTATTTGTCCTAAATAAGAATTTAGGATAGAGTGCATAACTATTTAATAATTACACATTATGTTAACAGAAAATGTCAGATAGGGTGGTTGTGACAACTAAGCACTGTAAATAGCCTCTTCCACTCATTCCAATATGCTAGCCTTGATTTTTGTCACATTTTCTTACACTTTACTCAATAATATTATTCAAATACAGAGAGAAGGTAGTGACTGTCCTCCCACAGGAGCACGACAAAACATGGTACACAGAACACATCACTGCCTACTGTAGATTTTATCAGTGCCAGCTTTGCTCCACAGAAGGACAACACAAGGTGAGAAATACAGTTTTCTGTACTAAATTCTGCACCATAAAAGCCAGTAGTCCTTAAAACTTCACACTACAAAACCGTTTCTGTGTGTCCTTATTGTATTTCATGAAAAAATGTGGGATGAACAATTATGACATGAACAGTTACATAGATTTTACTTATATGAAATAAACCAGTGCACTTGAGAGTGACCTTGATCTCATACATAATCCTGAAAGAGAATATAGTATATAAATTATGTTTTAGGAAGCTTAACAGCTTCTATGTGAAGTTTCCATGGGCAAGCAGCTGTTCAGTTGATTGGTCACCTTAAAGAAAATCCTAAATGAAAGAATTATACATTAACATCCTCAAGCAGTAGCTGTCTGTAACTGGAAATGCCAATATATGATTAAATTCCTTGAGGTCAAAGGCAAGGTAATTTAAAACAACATAAAATGTAAATTTTTGAACTCAGAGGAAAAAAAGTAGCAAGGAGAAAGGCTACAGTCAGTATTCATACAGCAGAACTTTTGGTAAATGCAACATAGTATGCAGAGAAATTCTCACCTTATAAAATAAGTCACTAACTCTCAATAACAAAATGATTTTACAATTTCATCTCACTTCTTATCTGCAGACATCCATAATTCCTTCATGTGCAACATGTTCCTGGCATCTCTGCTTCTGCACCATATTTATTGTGCACAGGCTTTTTTCCAAATTTTGAAGTAAGGGATAATGAGGGTGCATTTTCAAAACATTGCAACCGCTGGTTTGTTTTGCAGATGACACACCCATGCGTGTAATCAGCACATACAGTCACAATTGCATTTCAAAACCCAATTGCTTCTCATTGTAAAAATTTATTGTAGCCTTAGAAAGCTAAAAAACCTCACCAACATCCCACCACCACCACCCTTGACTACCAAAAATACAAATATGTAGTCCTGGAGCAATTGATTGGCCACATAAGAATTTTGAAAATCAGCAACATAACTCAGGCATCATTTCAGCCACATATGCAGCTCTGCACAGTTTGAGACTGGTTAGAATAATAGTGTTTCCTTCTGACTCTGTTCCATTCCAACACATTCTGTTTGAGGAAAAATTAACTCCTCAGGGCCTCTGCATACGTAGCATCTGCTCCTTGAAACATTCATTATGTTTGAAACATCCTCCCCCACAAAAAAAACCCCAGGATCAGAAAACCTTTCTATTTTTATATCCAGTTGTATCGCAATATTGAAAATGTGTTTGAATCTTTCTGTCACAAAAACATTATGCAAGTGTGATGTTCAATTTTCTCATCCAATCAGAAGAATCGTGCGGTAAATAAAAACCAAGAAAAGAGGAAAATGACCCCGCAGCACACAATGTACAGAACCCCAAAACACTCCCCTCCCTTCTACAAGGGCAAGTAGAGAATGCAGCAGATTTCAACACTCACGGCTATCATAGCATATATTGCCCAGGGCACGTCCTGTTTGAAGCAATACTTCCTGGTCTTTGCAGTTTAACAGCTGCACCAAGGGAGGGATCAAGCCAGCATCCACACAGGGGTTCCGCATGAATTCTGCAAATAAAGCACAGCCTGTTAACGCCAGGCCAGCTATTCCCAGTTTCATCAATTCCAGTTACACTGGCCTGGCAACCAGGCCTTTTGTATGCCCTAAACATGTGCACAGACAAACAGTGTAAATTCTCATTCGAGTTTCTAGAGAACAAGCCCAAGTCAGGACTTAATTCTTTCCATTATTTGCTAATTTAGAAGGAATTAAGGGTATTTAATTGACTTCCATGGAAACTAATTTAACATAGTTCAGACTAAGCATATTTTTAGCATCACAAAGAAGTACTGAAAAGACCAGTGAATGCACAACAAATTCAACATAAACTAGAATTACTAAATAACACAAAAGATTACTTAAAACTAGTATTCTAGAGCAGCATTTTTTACTCTCTATTGACTTAATTAGAATTCTGGAAAAGCTTTAGCATTAAGAGGATTTAAAAAAAAATAAAGCTCAGTAACAGGTTTTTATTTGGAAGGTGAAGAAAAGAACAGAAGAGAACGAGAAATACAAGAGTTTATATGAGCTCAAAGGCCTGTAGCTTTCCACAATCTAACTGATGCCCACCATGGGTGGAAAGGTAGAGGACCCATCCACTGGGAAGCTCTCTGCCCTTTCTTCCTGCTATACCACAAAAAAGCAAAGAATTATTTTGCATCTGTGCAAGTCATAGAGAACTATCCTGGTGTCAGAGACACAAAGGGCTGTTCTCCAGAAGGAGATACATCTAGGCAGGCACCGTGCTGCACATTTTAAAAATGTGGTTTTAGAAGGAACCACTTGATAACACCAGTGCTGTTTCACAGTTTACTACAGAGCACCCTTTAGAGATGTAGCATTGTAAAGTAAACCGTCAGTATGTTTTTGATTTGTTCTGAACTGCAAATTATCACAGAATCACAGAGTGGGTAAGACTGGAAGGGACTGCAATGGCTTATCTGGTCCAACCTTCCTGTTTAAGTGCAGTCACCCAAGAGCACAGGGCACAGGATTGCCTCCAGATGATTCTTGGGTATCTGCAGTGAAAGAGACTCCATAACCCCTCTGGGCAATTGTTGCAGTGCTCGGTCACCCAATAAAGTTGTTCCTCATACACTAGTAAGGTTCCCTCTCTGTCATCTCTTCTCAAGGCTGAACAGGCCCAGCTCCCTCAGCTTTTCCTTGTAAGAGGTGCTCCAGTTCCCTCTTACCCTTGTGGCCTCTGCTGGACCTGCTCCAGGAGCTCCACATCTCCCTTGTACAGAGGAGCCCAGAACGGGACACAGGAATCAGCATGCATCCTCACCAGGGCTGAGTGGAGGGGTAAGTTATGTTTCTTCCTAATCCTAAACAATATTGGATCTTTCAGTCAGTTTACCTTTCTGTTACTTAATCATTTATGAGCCAGAATGAACCAGGGTGTACAACCCCCTAAAAACGGATGAGAAAATTCATCTGATTCTGGATCAACAGAACTCCTCATGCCAGTAACTCAAAAGATTTCATACCGTGCTTGAAGTACAAATACATCCTCTCAAATACTCCCTTTGTTGAACCTATTACAATGTTCTTTGATGTTTTGGTGGCTACAAAATCTAGTCTCTTTTGTATTTAATCCTGCAGTGTTATTTTAGCTAAAGAATTGTCAGAGGTAAGCAATTCTCATGTGATGACGTAACTCTGATACATCAACATGCAGATTAAGAAGAATCAGCAATATCTATACACTTGCACAGGTCCAAGAGAAGATAGTTGTGAGCACAATTAACCCACCTTCCTAGGCTACTGTAACATTTTACAACTGTGGCTAGATGTTATTATAGTGTGATAAATGGTGATAGTATCCAATGTAATGAATGTAACAAATACGAGATACATCTGGTCTTTAAAACTGGTCTTGACATGTCCTTGTAACATGGAGTATATTTCTTTATCACCCATTTTCAACTTCATTGCAATGTTTATTTATTAGATGTATTTAGTTTCTTCCTCTGTCTTCTCTGTCCTCTCAACTGCCTGTAAAAACTCTTCCCTGTTACTCAGCTACCCCTGCATCACTTTCCTTTACACCCACTAACTTAACATAGTCTCTACATCAACAAAGTCAGGTGTTTTTCTTCTTCTCATAGTCTGTATCAGAAAATGAAACTTATCCTCTCCTAAAAGACTGAGAGGTCTCAGTCTGTTCTGTGGTTTGCTTAGGTTCCTCCTCACGTAGTGAAAAAGAGTAAGAAACCCTTCCTCCACCCTCCCTCCATCTGGAGTGAGCAGAAGCTTTTTCAGCAAAAAAATCATTGGTCAATAAGCTGAGCAAACTTGTATTTATCAAGGTTATGTAAGAGCAAGAAGTAAAAGAAATGGTGCCATTTGTACCAAAATAGATCTGTGAAACAGGAACCAAAATGTGGTAACTGCAAATACTTTTGCAGCTGATACTACACAGAAGTAATAGAAGTATGAGAAAATAATTGAGAACAGTCTTTAAAAGGTTTCCACTAGCCCAGGAGAGAAATGAAGGAGATCCTTTGAAGGAAAGAGTGAAGAATCACTTAAGAAGTAGGAGGAGAACCATTGAGGACAGAGCAACATAAACAAAAATAAGGACAAGATTTTGAAAGTGAAGTGTAATTACGTTGTTGTATTACAGACTGTGAAGATGATTTTTCTCTCATTCCTGCACCTGGCAAAGGAGACAAGACTAAAAACCTTGGAAGAGGGTTTAAAAGGTCCACAGTGGAGAGAGAAACTTCATGTAACAAGTCCATCTGAGCCTTCATGATGCTCAGAGTTGAAATGCAAATGGCTGCAGCTGGAGAGACGTGAGTAACTAAAGGGAGTTTCGTATGTTCAGGTATTTAAAATAGGAGAAACAAATATGAGCTCAAACTGGGAGGAGGAAGAGTCATGTGAGCAGAAGAGGTGAAGCAGCAAGAGCAGGAAGAAGTGAAAAGACAAAACATGACAAAGCCACCAAGGCAAGTAGAGAGATTTGATGTGACCAGATGTGTGTGGGCATATGATCAGATGAGGGGAATATAAGAGGAAAACAAGAAGTGGGGAAGAAAAAGAAGCTCTTGTATTAGTAACACCCAAAATCGCAGTCTCTGCTCCCAGCTCTGGCACTACTGCATGGCACAACCACTCAGGGAATGGGTTTAATGCCTACTATCCACTGAATGTTGATAACACAAATTTCTTGAAGTGCCTTGAAGTTTGTTGAAAACAGGTACAACATAAGCATTAAACTCTCGTATTTTTATGCAATAAAACAAAGAAAACAACAGAATTCAAATGAGGTATTCCCCAGCTATCCTGCTTAAGCAACTACTTCAATAAAGTTAGAATCCAATGAGAAATACCTAGATTATCTCAGTTTTGAAAGCACTGGGACCTTAAATAATTTCTGAGTACCTTCATTTTAACCTTGGCTGACAGAGATCCCAGTTACACCTGCTAATAACTCTAAGGAAAAGACAAAAGCAATTTTGTATGATGAACCAGGTAAAATGCCAGCTTTCCTGAAAGTGTACATAAAGCACCAGTTTAGAAGCTGTCAGGAAAAAGGACACATTAGAAACTATTCAGACATTTCATGTGTGACTTCAGATACTGGCTAAAAGACTCTTTTTAAGTAAGGGAATCTTCGAGGAAACAATACATAGTAATGTTTGCCTATTGTGAACATTGATTTTATTCTTAACTTTTCCCTCCTAGGATAAGAGCTAAAAGGACTAACTGTGTGGACACACAGTTGACAGTGCTGTTCTAAAAATACTTACTATGAATTCATTAAGTACAGAAGAAAACCCATTATATATTTGCCTAAATCTCTATCATTCTGAAACACTTCCAAATTTTAATTTCTACGTACACATATTTCATTGGCTCTTTATCTAAATAAGTCTAACACTTAAAAACTAAACATACGTATTTTCTTTTCTTGTTAGTGTTGTTTCCGAATAACCATATGTAGCTCTGTTTTAAAACCAGTAAATTGGGTGAGGTCACCATGGGGGGTTATCAGTAAGAAGCTGTAATTTGTGATTCCTCAGAAAAGGTGGAAATGGAACGTGAAAGGAGTCAGCAAGAATGTAGCTCTTTCCCTGAAGAGGCATCAGCATGAGTTTACAAGGGGAGAGGGATAAGGCTGCCAGGACAGCAGTTAAGAAACATTCTACTTTTCTCTGTCTGGCCTGTGCAGAAGCAAAGTCCAAAACGGAATCTGTGCCTCTTCAGCTGTGATAGCAGCAAGTCCAGGAGTGAGAAAGTCAGCCACAAATCTCCTCTACCCTCATCACGAGGTCTGCCCGTAGTGTATGCTTGCAGGTATGAGGCCATTCTTCTGGGCTCAAGATATGCAGGTACTGGATGAGCTTTGAGATAATCCTGTCTAAAGAAAAATTTAAATCGCTTTTTGATTACCTCCGATGTTATATTATATACTGTATGCATATAATACATACCAAAATGGACGTGAATCTTACTCGGGACTTTGGGCTCTAATACATATAATGCTCTTTAAGTAGGACTAATTGATTTTAGTCTGGTATCAAAGGACTCACAATGGTTATAATCTTAGGGCAAATCTCAGACCAAAGAAATGATCTACTATCCCCTTGACAACCTGTATAGATGCTACTTCTGTAACTATGGGCACTATGCATAACTGGCTGCACACATTGTGCATGTCTCTTTTTCTACAAGCTTTTCATATAGAAATTAATTTCATCAGTGGTGGGCCATTTCTGCCTAATAAATTACACTGCTGTCTTAAAAACTAAATAGAATGAAAGTAAAAGAAATTCCAGCAGCCAACTGCTTTTTTGATTGTATTAAAAAGTGCAAAAAAATAAACTAGACAAAACAAAAAGAGTGAAAGGGAGGGACATGAAAGGAGTCTATCTATAAAATGAAAACATAAATGAAGTAAAACATACTGACAAGTGAGGTGAAAAACTGAAGATGTTCCAGCAGAAAAGTTCTTGTAGAAAACCTCACCATTTCTGGCTACTTCTGCTATGATGTTAGCTACTTTTGCTGTGCAGGAAGATTGCGGCGTCAACAGACTCGCGAACACCTGAAGAACTCCACTTTTCTGAATTTTTTCACTTGTCTCCATATCTGAAAAACATATCACACAAAAATGACTTGTGCATCAAATTACTTTGGGAAAGAACAGAAAGAATAGCAGAAAGGAAGACTTCTCAAAAGTAATTATGATAGTCATTATTTCCCATATTAGAGGCCAACTGTTAGTTCAGTAACCATACTTACTTTATCTGATATACTCACAGAACTTAATACTTTGCCACTTCAATTGATCTTTATAAGGTGACTGTTATACAAGTATATACAGATATATACTCATGCTTACATGAGGAAAATATTGGAGAGACTGTAAGACTAAAGGTCATGAAGTGATATGCAGCAGATAAAGGTATTATGTAAAAATCAAGGAATGACACTTGGAAGAGATGAATTATCGGAAATGTTCAAGGAATGATGGGGAAAGTGCTTACAGTTTAGGTACAGCTTAATGCAGTGTAGGAATCAGAAACTGGAGAAGAGGGAGAGCTAAGATGATTCTGGTTGTAGACTTCTCTTACACTCAAATATCTTCTATGTTACTGTTACTGAGTAGCTCCAATATAGACTCAATAGAAAGGAAAGGGAAAAACACCGAGTTTCCTGCAGTAGATATCAAAGATTTGTGACAAAAGCTTTCCTCTTTCCGTATGTAGTAACAGGAATTGTGCAGCTGGTCCCTAACAGGGCCCCACCTAACATTGCTGGCCAGCAGCAATGCTCTGTAACAAAGTGAAAACCAACATTGATTCAACTGCAGTTAAAGACAAGGTACTAGATGCTACGACATATTTTGCTAACGCTTTTAAAAATGGCACATGTGAGATGAGTATTAGTGTGACACACAGTACAACAAGATGGCAGCTATCATTTTAGAAAGCAGCATCTTCTTAAGACATTTATATGGGAAGTTATTTGCATTCTTCAGAGTTTACTAAGAGATGCTCCAACTGATGACTTTTGCAAAGCAAAACAAATTATGTGAATGCAGTTTGCAACCACCCTTTGGTTGTGCTTCACTTGTAAATTGATAATAACATACCACCCTCTCTGTTCTCTTCCTCCTTCCTTTCCCCACTCTCAGGGCTGCAATTGAATTATCTGTGGCAGCCCCAGGACCACTCAGCTGAGTCCGAGTGGGAGAGATCCACTCAAGCTGCTCCTGAACAGAAGCCAGCACAAGCCTGGCAGAGCTGACTCCCATGGGTTTTGTGGCTCATGCAGAGTATGTACATGCTTCAGTGTCTGGGAGCTGGTTATGTCTACATGACAGAAAAAGATTGAAAACAGAGAACTTCAAGTCTGGATTGCAGTTATGCCTCCCATTTCTGTATACAATTCCAACTTGGGATGTTGATGTTCGGCTGGGACCATCAGCTCCAGTATGTCAGTGATGACATCTGATTACAAACAGATTAGGGATCAATAATCTCAACGTCTCATGCATAATGTAAGTGCTAATTATTATTAATCTGTTTGCAAACTAGTTAACTGCAGTTTTTGAAATACACTGCAAAAAGCTCTGAAAAGATAAAATGTAATGGAGCTTATGGCTTATTTGAAAGCTTTTATAAACTCTGACATATAGCACATACTTAGTAGCAATATTTTCCAGTGGATATAGACATGTAAAATAAAGTCTTAATTTAGTGAAAATCATATCAGGACTAAAGACTAGTCCAGACATCTTAGATGTCTGTTAAGGAAGAGCTTCTCTCTCCCTTAAGTTCAAAACTCAAAGTACAGAATTCAAAATGAAAAATATGGATA